AGAGAATAGAGTTCTAAGGGGGTTTCTTTGTAAACCAAAGTTGTAACTTATTCTTTCATTAGTGAATTTCTCAAGGGGATCACCAAGAGGATGTAGGCAATTGCTGAACATCTATAAATTCTTGTGTCACTTTGTGCTTGGTTGGTTTCTCAAGTGTGTGTGTGTGGGATTCATCCATTATTGTGTTTGTCACAAAGTCCATCAACAACAAGATCAAAAGGGGGAGAGTGAAAGTGAAAGTGTCATTTTCACAACAAGTGGTATCAAAGCTGTGTTAGAGCAGCAAGTTGCTAGTGTGTTGAAGATGGTAAGTGACAACAAAGTTGAAGGTGGAAGTAGCTCTATGCAGCAGAGGCTACCACAATCTGTCAGTATGAAGGTGGAGTTAAAGCCCTTCACAGGGAAGTAGAACTTCACGCTTTGGCAAAGGAGGATGAAGTCAGCCCTTACACAACAAAATCTATGTGTTGTCTTGGGAGGCAAGGAGAAGAATCCGGTAACCATGACAGATGCAGAGTGGGGTGTGCTAGACGAGTTGGCTAGATGAGCCATCGAGAACTACATCACAGATGAGGTGCTCATCAACGTGATGAAGGACACAACAAAGCAAACATGGGAGAAGCTCGAAGAGATGTTTGCAGGGAAGTCACTGTCCAACAAGCTCTTCCTCAAGGAAGAACTCCTAAATCTTCGGATGGAGGAGGAAGGTAATCTAATGGAGCATTTGAGCAACTTCAATAGATGTGTTACTGACTTGCAAAGAATGGAAGTGAAGTATGAGACGAAGGATAAGGCACTCATGTTCCTAACATCCTTGCCTCCGTCTTATAAGCGCTTCAGAACAAGGCTTATGTTCGGGAAGAGCACCTTGAATTTTGAGGAGGTGGTGCAAGATGTGATGACACACCACAGGATGTCTCAACATTCGGAGGAGACCTCTCAAGATGTGGGTTTATTCGCAGGGAGCTATTCAAGCAAGCGTGAAGGCAAGAGCAACAAAGGGAGGAATGCTAAGTCCAAGGACAATGAAGAGTGCTTCGAGTGTGGATCCACGGATCATTGAAAGCGAGATTGTCCATTATGGAAGGAGAAGCAGAACAAGATGAAGAAAGCCAAAGGTGTTGTCAATATGTCAATTGATGACACATGTGATGAACTCTTGACGGTTACGGAGGGGAGTAACGGGGAAGTCATGGCAAGTTCTTCGGGTAAGGATTCTACTTCAAGTTGGATTCTAGATTCCGGGTGCTCATATCATGTGTGTGCAAATAAGTTGATGTTTTGATACATATGAGGCTAAGGAGGCAGGCAAGATTATGTTGGGAGACAAAACTACATGTGAAGTTTTGGGCATAGGGACTATGAAGATCAAGTTGCAAGATGGTGAAGTTTGGAGTCTTAGTGAGGTAAGGTTTGTACCTGCATTAAGAAAGAATTTACTCTCACTTGGCTCTTTGGATAGAGAAGAGTATTCTTACAAGGCCGAAGGAGGGAAGCTCATGGTCACACAAGGTACTGTGGTGGTTATGGGGGGGAAATTCAACCAAACAACACATACAAGCTTTTGGGTGGTGCAAAGATTTGTACCAAGGAAAAGCATGCAACAAGTCTTAAAGTCAAGGAGCCGGTCTAACATGATGGGGAGGATGTTGTTGAAGAGAAGCTTCTTGCCAAGGTGGTCATGGGAGAGACTCCATTTGAGGTGGAGCTTGACACAAGGGCTGAAGAAGGAGGGCAACAACAACAAACTCACAAAGGGGTTCTACTTGAGGTGGAGCCATCATCAATTGCAAGGTCCGAGCCCAAGGAATCCATTAAACCGTCCCTAGGTTTTGGATGGATGGACCAAGAAGTTCCAGCCACGTTTCGGAGTGCTATAGGGAGCATGAAGTGGGAAAGTTGGAGAGGTGCAATGATTAAAAGAGATGTGTTCTTAAATCCAAGAGCAAGGTTGGCTAAGTGGGGATTTAGTGAACAAAGGTTTGGTATGTGGTTTGCATATCAAGGTATGTCCAATATTCAACGTTCCAGGAAGGCAAGGAGCAAGGAATTTGGCATGGGGGATCTCTCTTCTGCAAAAGAGGTCCAAGTTACTCAAGTTTAGACTTGGGTGAATCACCTTCCACCAAAGGTGCTTTGAGGCAAGAGGTTAATTGCCATGGTGGAGCTCTTGGAAATTACTAGAACGATTTCTAAGAGGTTGAAGAGGTTCTAGAGGCAATAATGTCCACAAGGAGTTTTAGGTTCGCCAAGGTGGAAATTGTTGGAAAAATGGCTCACCTAAGGATACAAAGTCCTCTTTTGTGTGCTATGGATTTCTACCTAATTCCATGACATGGTTGACTCATTTCTAGATGAATTTTGGAGTTGTCCATGTGAGTTAATATTGTCTTGCCACCTTTGTCAAAAATAGGTGGCTTGTTTGGTGGCACAAAATTGTGAAATTTTTGGTAGCCATCCATTGTTAAGTTTGGTAGCCAACATTTGAATAGTGTGAGGCTGCATTCACACTCTTGCATATTTGGCTATATAAAGGGGTTTAACATGCAAGAAGTAAATCATGGCTTAAGAGTTCTCTAGTGTGGTTAAGTTCATCAAGGGAGTGGTCTTTATTCTCCAATGGGTGATTAAGTTCACAAAGGGTGAGGGTAATACCATCAAAGGGTGTTTTAACCATCAAGGGAAGAAGGAGCTGAGTTGGGTCTTGAGAGTCTAGACACAAAGGGGGGAAACACCAAGGGTTGTGAAAGTGTTCACAAGGGTATCAAAGTGTTGAGCAAGGGGTGAGAAAGAAAAGAGAGCTTGGGGAGAGAATAGAGTTCTAAGGGGGTTTCTTTGTAAACCAAAGTTGTAACTTATTCTTTCATTAGTGAATTTCTCAAGGGGATCACCAAGAGGATGTAGGCAATTGCTGAACCTCTATAAATTCTTGTGTCACTTTGTGCTTGGTTGGTTTCTCAAGTGTGTGTGTGTGGGATTCATCCATTATTGTGTTTGTCACAAAGTCCATCAACAACAAGATCAAAAGGGGGAGAGTGAAAGTGAAAGTGTCATTTTCACAACGGTACTCATATATTTTTCAATCTGTATAAGCAGAAAGAAATCTGTACAAAAAGAAAAAAACATCATGTAGCAAAAGATAAGTACATAGTTACTAAAAGCATTACCTTTCGAGTGATCAAAAACCTCTCTCCTTCAATACTAGAAGTAACCAATGACTTTACGTTTAACAACCTTGGACAAGTTTCAACTGCATCTGTCTTCAAGTTTTTGACTTATCCGGCCAAATACATTCTAATCCTAAAAGAACTCGCCTGACGACTTTCTACCAATGCAAAAGCATAGACTGTTGGGAGTTCTTCCTTGTCTTGATGCTGTAATAACAAATTCCATGAAAAGAGTAAGGAACCCTAATATAAATTTATTAATTGTCTTACATGAAGAGTCTTTTTTCTGCTAAATGGAACCTACAGTGCAAAACTGAAACCTATCATTCCCACCATGAACCATGTCTTGTTATATAACCAAGCCTAACCACTCAATATTCCACCAACAATAAAAATAGTGTCCCAAGATTCATTTTCTAGAAATCAAATTTGAAAAACCGTACATAATCAAAATTATTCCAAATTTGTTATGCTAATAGATTACTAAGCCCATAACTATTTTCCTAATAATGGAACAAAAGAGTATGGTACAGCTTGGGGAACACTATGTGACAAATGCAAGAGAGATAACAGATAATTAAACACAATCAGTTGAATTTGATTACATTTGGTTTCAAAAGAAGCAAAAGATCATTCTGTGATATTGCTTCCTTGTCATCCATGTCACTCTTCTCGTAGGTGAGAGTTGCTTAGTGAAACCCAACAACTTCAGTGCACGCCACAACCAAATTTCTCTTGGGGTTTAGTACTGCAGTGTTCCATACAGAAACAAATTAAGAGTGAGAGTAAATTCACAAAAAATATACCTAATCCCAGGTTAAATGTTTAAGACTGTTGAAACTCAAAACCAGCATAAATTGAGTGATGAACAGAATTCTCTCAGAAACCACATAGAAAAGGGAAAGACGAAAAAAAAATGAATACATTGATTCTCGTCTTTGCTCTGAATAATCTGAGCTTTGACTTCTTCAAAAAGAAGGGGTTCATAAGTAGAGATATAGTCATCCACATCTTTGTAGGTGTCTTTCACTTTTCCCATTCCTAAACCGTCATCTATCTGTCCCTTATTCTTCTTCTTATTCTTCTTCTCATTCTTCTTCTCGTTCCCAAAAAAAATTTCAAAAGCATCAATTTAATATAAAAAATCAATAATATATATATGACAGAGAGAGAAAGAGAATTTACAGTTAACTCTGTGAGGAGGCCGTAATAGTCCCAACCGAGAACAATCTTGTGGAAACGAGCAATGGGAGCGGCTTCCTGAAGCTTGTCTTTGTCCACCGCCATTGACAGAGAGAGAGGTCTTAGTAAAGGTGACGGCGAGAGAGCTGAGAGGCTGAGAGCAGATAGATCATAATTATTATCTCAATATCAGTATATAAATTTTAAGTACTAATACGAAACTTAAAAAGAAAGAACAGAGCATAAAATAACAGAGTCATGAGCCAGCTGCCACAGAAAATAGACTGGTATTGCAGCAAAACTAGGAGAAACACCAGATCACCCTACGAAACCCATCACTCTCTCCCTCTATCTCTCACTCACTCTCTCTTTCCCTTTCTCTACTCAACCTAAAAGCCGCAAGGAACACAAAGCCCCAATCTCATAGAACGACAGAGAAAAACCCTAATTTCAGAAAATTAGAGTACTTGGAAACCCGAAAATCAGAAATGCAATGAAACTAGTTAACTTACTGATGAGTGGCCGATACGTATACGGATACTATACGGCTCGATACGTGCCAATCAGTGGCGGAGCCACAGTGGGGTCAGTGGGGTCGCACGACCTCTTGGAAGCTATGGAAATAAGCTTAGAGGTCCCTTGGAGCTGCACACCAAGTGCTCGACTAAATGACTGAAGAAGAAAGAAGGGTGCTGTGCGACCTGAAAAAGAAGGCTGTGCGTGCAGGTCCTTTTTATTTATTTAAATGACCTAGCGACCTGAAGAAGAAGGCTGTGCACGCGGGTCCTTTTTATTTATTTAAATGACCTGGACCTCGTTTTGGGCCAGGTCTGAATTTTTTTTTTTCAAATTGAAAATGCCCAGCGTATCCTTCATTTCCAGCACCGATAAACTAACACACTCAAACATAAACATTGTTTCTCTAATTCTAACAGATGCAATTCTAATAGTGCTTAACACCCTGCAATTCAACCACCAGATTTGAACCATTCATCATCTGCAAAAAGGCAGTAATCATCTATTTCCACCTCTCCCAGGTGACCAATAACAGATAAGAAGAACCCATTTACTTTACTACTCTATCAAATGAAACCAAATAGAAATATTCCAACCACCCAAATAAAGAACTGTAAATGAGGTCAATTTACAGAATGATAATTGACAATTAAGAAGTGGTTTAAAAATCAAGTTTGTTGTATACAGTTTCCCAATTACAATTAATAATACATATCATTATAACAATGCTCCAAAAGAATATAGGAAACCAAATATATTACTGTGTTTCCAATCCTTCAAAATTCAGCAGTTGGTTATCTCAATAATTTACCAAACAAAATGAAAGGTGGGTTTTCGATTTCTGAAAGGCAAATAAAAAGTGATATTCAATGGATTCAATTTGATTCTCATTCCCACTTGTTTCTTCAGCAACCAAACAGATATGAGACTAGCATGTAAGAAAATACTCGAATCTGTTCGCCGCAAGAAGAGCAATTCCCGGAAAACAAATCCAAGAACTGACGGAGAATGCTTCAAGATCCAATCAAGTTGAATTATTTGATAATCCAAACCCATCAAAACATGCATGCATTATGGAATGGACATTAATTAATTGGTTTTCAAGAACAGAGAACTAACCTCAAAGGAGTCTCCAAAGGCCAAGCTTGAGATACAAAATCAATTGAAAGAAAGAACCAAGCTCACTACTGAGAGTGTATTCTTATAAAATCTTTGTTGGGTACCATGAGGCGGTGGTGGGCCACTCAGTACTCAACCGAGCAAGCCGGTAAAGGCTTCCTTTGAAACGGTGGAGAAGAGAAGAGGGGAAGAGAGAACAGAGAAGCGAGAGAAGAGAGAGGAGAGAAGAGAGAGGAGAGAACAGAGAAGAAAGAGAAGAAAGAGAAGACGAGAAGAGCAGAGGGGAAGAGAGAGAGAAGAAGAAGAGAGATAGCTGGAGGCGTGCTCTCTGGCTTCGAAACTCATGTCTGGGGTTGGGTTTCTAAGCCCTAATTATTTGGGACTTGGATCCAATGGCCATATCCAATCCTAGACACACTTTAAGCTCACCAAAAAATGACTAGGTCCAGTCCAGCGTGAATATAATATAAACTGCCAATCTTTCATAATGCACAGAACGCCTTATTTGTCCTTAAAGAATAATAAAAGCCATGTAAGGTCTGCCTCATACAGTGTGTATTTATGCATGTTTTGTATGTGCGTTTATGAGACTAAATTCTAGTGTATAAAGATCTCAGTTGCTGGTACATTAGTGTGTAATTAAAGAGCTGAATAACTGGTGTCCTCTTGGCCAAAATTTTTATTGGGACTTTTACACTAAGACCCCTTGTGGTAAGATTCCTGGCTCCGTCACTGCTTATCGAGCTACAATCTTGTAAAAAAAATTCTTATTGGACTGAACGCTCCAAAATATTAGGACCCTAGGTCTTAGGGCCAGTTTGAAATTGCTGTTATTTTTTTAAAAAAAATTGTTTCTGTTGTACTTTGAAAATAATTAGCTATAAAGTAAAGCAGCTCCATATTTGGTAAACAATATTTTTAAAGTGTTGTTAGTACAAAAAGTAGTGTCAAAACTGTTTGGTAAATTTTAATATAAAATTGTTATAACTATGAATAATAACTAAAATAGACATGATGTTGAAAGTGTTATGCGTTAATCATGTGGTGGTAGTGGTGGTGATGGTTGAAGTGGTGGTGAAAGAGATGGAGGTGAAGGTGGTGATGGTGATAAAGGAGGAGGTGGTGGTTGTGGTAGTGATTGTGGTGGAGATGGCGATTGTGGAGGTGGGGGTGGAGGGGCAGTGGTGGTGATGGTGATGGTAGAGGTGGTGGAGGTTGAGGAGGAGGTGGGGGTGGCAATTACGGTGCGGTGGTAGTGGTGGTGGAGGATGTTGTAGTGGTGGGGGTGATGGTGGTGGTGGAGGTGGTGTCATTTTTAAAAATTAATGATGGTATTTTGGGAATTAAAAAAATTAATTAAAAGTTCATCTCTACTTCTTTTGAAAGCAACTTTGAAAAGCAACCCAGAGCAAACCCATCCACACACACCTTTCTCCTCTCATGCAAATACCCTTGGAAGAAACAAACCCATCCTACCCCCATCTCAGCCTCCCCAGCCATCGTCCCTTCTTATCCCTTGACCAGCCACACCCAACCTATCTCACAAACCCATCCCTATCCTCCGCATATCAACCCTACCCACCTAGCCTCATCTGCCTCCCCACCCACACAGCCCCACCTCGATCTCCCTAACATGCACACCTCCTCAACCCTCAAACCCAGTAGCCCCAACCCACCCTAGAGCACCTCTTTAATTGGGGTGTTGCGAAGAAATTGACAGTGGGAAATGGATTTGAAAGGGAGATAGGAGGAGGAAATGGAAATGAGTTTTAGGCCTCGTATGCGGTGTTTGACACATGAGGATTAGATGTTATGGTTAGCTGATAACTTAATAGGTTCTTATGGGATCTGATTATATGGCTATGAGGTTGGATTGTATACTATTTTGCGCATGTAATTGAATGTTGAATTTCAAAATTGTCTATCTGGATCTATTAATTTGCAAGAGATATATTAACAGATTGTGGATGGCTTTGAGGGTTGGGGAGGTGCTGAAAGAGGGTGGAGCTATTGAAATTTATACAGAAAAATGTCAAGTTATGAGTGTGTGCTGTAGGTTGGGTGATTGGGTGGGGGGTTTGGATTGGATTTGTTGCAAGAGGTTGTGGCTAGACATATGCCGTATACGGGACTAGTTGGCGGATGTTTGGTGTTTTTGTTTTTGAGAAGATGGTCGGAGGATGAGGCGCGTCTAAAGACAGAGAGAGGGGGGGAAAGAGGAAGAGAATGAGAGAGTATGGATTTTTTTCTCTATATTTTAAAATTTTAAATTTTAAATTTTGTTTAAAGAATTGTTTAATATAGTTTATTATGTTTTTATTTTTAATTATTAAAATATTTAATTATATGTCACCAATTTAATTAGTGGATAATGATTAATGTGTACAAAATTACAAAAATAACTCTGTCATGTCATCAAAGTTAACAGACTTTTGGACAAAATTGGTGACAAAGGGCAAAGTGGGTCACCAAACCACGTTCAAACGGGGTAAGTAGGCCACTTTAAGTTTGAGGGGGCAATGGTGTAAATAAGCGTTTAAAATAATCAAGATATTTACTTTTACCAAACGGGGCATTATTCAGCTCATCAAATCGCTTGTACTAGGGTTTAGGATTGGGCATTTCAACTCAAAAATTGGCCAAAACCGATCTGCTTGATTTGGTCCGGTGTTTTATTTTTATTTTTTGAAATTCGGTGGATAACCAAACCAAACCGGTCTATTCGGTTAGGTTTGCGGTTTGCAAATAACCAAACCACCGGTTTCTCTGAACCACGGTGTAAAAATGTTAATAATCGAGAATGGTGTAAAAATGTTAATAATTGAGAAATGTTGAAGGTAAGGATTTTCGAACACCCTCTACCTCCCACTTGCAGCGCCAGCTCCAAACCAATGCACCAAGCAACACGGTTGTGAAAGATGGCAAAACGTAACCAACCTAACGGCTCCGCTCTCCAGTGTGCGAGAAATATTAAAATGACATTTCTATCCTTCTAGTAAAAGTTGAACGGGCAATCAAGTGAGGGCTATGATCGTCATTGAAGAAGATGGCAAATTCGTAATATAAATATCTACCAGCAGGTACCACCAAGTTGTTACAACAAGAAATCAAAAGCCCGCCAAAACCATTTCGTCTTCCATCATTCTCTGTTTCTTGAACAACAACAGCTCTCAGTTTCTTGATTTTGCTTCAATGGCGCTCAAATTCCGTACACTCTCACTCACCATCCTCCTCCTTGTGCTCATCGCCTTGATCATGCTCCCCGACGGCGTTGTCTCCCTCACACCCCGAGAGTACGATTCGATGCAGCGAGTGCTCCGAGGCCACGGCTACAACCTGATGTGCAACGCCATGGCGACTTCAGATCTCCAGTGGCTGCTCCTCACGCTCCCGGCGAACTCGTCCTTCACGATCTTCGCTCCCACCGACGCCTCCCTCTTCGCGCTCGACATGATCCAAACGGCGTCGTCCTACACCGACACCCTCCGCCTCCACGTCGTCCCTCTCCGCCTCTCGCTCTCCAACCTCCGCTCGCTCGCCGCTGGCTCCTTCCTCCCCACGCTCCTCCCCTCCAGCGCTCTCCGCCTCGTCTCCGCCCGCCCCCTCTCCGTCTCCGGAGTCGACGTCGTTTTGCCCGGCCTCTTCTACTCCCACCACCTGGCTGTTCACGGCCTCGGCGGCATTCTCAGCCTCGCCTCTCTTGTTCCCTACGGTTCCTCCCACTCGCCGGTTCAAAAGGTCGAGCCCATGTCCACGTCTGACTTCAACGGTACAGATCTCTCTCCAGTGATCGCACCATCTTCGGTGAATACTGGATCTCCGTCTATCTCGCCGGCGTTTGTCTCGGAGGACGAAATTTCGCCGGCG